ATCAGTAAAGCCGGTTCTGTAATCAGCGGTAAATCTCCATCACCTGCGGGCTTTCACATTGAGCAGCATTAACTGCACAGAGCCGTTGTTCACTGATGAGCAGCGCAAAAAATCGCGCGAATATGAACATGGTTTTGAGCAACTCGTCAGTGAACAACGGCTCTGTGTAGTTAATGCTGCTCAATGTGAAAGCACGCAGGTGATGGAGATTTACCGCTGATTACAGAACCATCTTTACTGACAAGATGCGCATTAAATATCGCATGCGATTTATCGTGCAGCCCTAGTGTGTAATAAAGTATAAATCTAACAGCATTTTGAGGTTTATGCTTAAAACAAGAAAAAAAAATAAAAATAACTGAAAACAAGGCTTAGTATCTTATGCAATTTTGTTTCTAGAGAAAATGTATCTTTTTTTAAATTGCAAAACAGGGCTGCGTTCAGCCCCGACAAAACGTTGCAAAACGTTTTTTAAACGGAAACAGTGGTGCGTTGAACACCCTGTTCTGATGACCAAGAGTTGCAACTATGGCAGCTGAGAAGGCCATTCTTTGTGTTCTTTTTGAAGAATTTTCGGAGCCTGATGAAATCGGTATCTCAATATGAGTTTAATACTGCAAAATACGCTCGATGTTACAGTCACTGCCCTTGCCGTCCAGAATAAAAGACACATTTGTAAACGCCTTTACTTGGACCCATTGTGCGAGCGGTCTCTTTAATACGGCGTGGTTTATATACATGTTGCTGCTGATTGGGCTGACATTTTTGACACACCCACCAAACAAGAGAAAAGGTATCTCAAACCCTGTTGCACACCGTTTCTAGGAAACATGTCGTTCAACCCGGAAACCGTAGCAAAACGTTGCGCACCGGTTTGAGCTTGAACGTGCCCCAGGGCAAAAATATGCAGTTATTTACCCACTCGCTAATGCCTAAGAAAGAAATAAACAGAACATGATAAAACAAAACAAAGCGTCAATACATTATGAGAAGCAATAACATAATGCATTTAAATGACAGGTGGCTAATGTTGTTTTTCCTCAGTAGCAGTCTCAGAGCAAAGGAAAACACACGAAAAACTTGCAGCACACAAAGCAGCTGGTGCAACTGAGAAGCAACATTATCCGGTTCCGACTGGATCTGACCTGTCAAACGGATCCGAGAGCGAGACGTACGGAGGGTATCGAATCGATGCAGCAGGGCACTTCTACCGTCTCATAACACTGCAATGTTTCATAAGAAACGCGTCCATTACGAAACACGCTAGCTACTGCATTAATGCACACCGAAGCGTTCATGCAGCGATGCCTCTATTGCACAATAAACTTATGATTATAAATGACTAAATCAAACTGCATGCTTATGCTCTGCGGTGAGAGCGCTGCTGCATCTCTTTCGCTACACTGTTCGCTGCTGCTGTAATGATACTTAAAGACATTTTAAGACTCACCTTTGTGCCTTTTTGCTGTACAGGAGGTGAAATCTAGCAGGTTCTTGGCGGAAGGACGAAAAAGAAAGAGAAGAGCGCAGGAGTGAGGAACACAAACACACTTTAAAACATCATTTGAAGTCTGGCCTTTTTCGCGAGAGGAGGGTTTTGCTGGGGGATCCGCCGACTCCAGCCAATAGAGAGACTTGCAGCTCCCGGAAATGTCAGATGCCTTGCACCGAGCACAGCTGTGTGCTGTCAGCACTGCATATTTCCCATAATGTAATCGCAGCTCCAGTCTAGTAGTCGGGGTTTTGATTCATCTCCGTGACTCGAATCTTTTGAATCAAGGACGCTGTTCGCCAGAAAGATTCGTTCACTGTTTAATTCGCTGTCCCTTTCTACATCTTTATGCCTGAAGGTGACGTTATCGCACAAATTATTGCCAAGTAGATTTCCACTCTGTGTTGTCAATTACTGAGCATGACTTTTATCAAGCTATAATGTTTGAGGGAAGCGAGTTTCTTTGTTCGTGTTGTGAGTCTTTGCAGCCGGTGTGTTTTCAAATTGATGAAGATGTTTTCTTAATTTGCAGGCGTTTTTTCTATTTGCCTGTTTTTTTTTTTTAAATTTGCAGCACGTTGAGCTCTCTCAGCCACCGTAGAAATGTTTCTTAAAGGGGTCATTGGATGCAAACTTCACTTTTGTTGTTGTTGGAGAGGGAGTTATTCGGTCAACCGATTCCTTACAAAACAGACCGAACCTATAAATGTGCTTGTCTGCAAATGTACTTCGAGTCTTGCGTATAATCGCACAAATTATTGCCAAGTAGATTTCCACTCTGTGTTGTCAATTACTGAGCATGACTTTTATCAAGCTATAATGTTTGAGGGAAGCGAGTTTCTTTGTTCGTGTTGTGAGTCTTTGCAGCCGGTGTGTTTTCAAATTGATGAAGATGTTTTCTTAATTTGCAGGCGTTTTTTCTATTTGCCTGTTTTTTTTTTTTAAATTTGCAGCACGTTGAGCTCTCTCAGCCACCGTAGAAATGTTTCTTAAAGGGGTCATTGGATGCAAACTTCACTTTTGTTGTTGTTGGAACATAAATGTGTGTTGGAAGTGTGTGTAAACATCCATCCTATAATGATAAAAATCCACCCAGTGGTTTTTAAAAAAATCCCCTTTCTCAAATCAGGCTGTTCTGAGATTTCTGTCAGAATGACGTAGTTCTGCACAGGCCCCTCCCACGATAGTTGATTGACAACAGTGTTGCCAGACATACGATAATTATCGTATTTGTACGATAAGTTTGACCTCTGTACGATGTACGATCAATAATGAAAAAAATCCCATAATTTACGATAATTTCGAAATTTCAGAACGTGTTTTTTTTCAAATTCAACCTCATCAAAACAAAGCCATGAAATCGGCTCATTACAGACGCTCTAAATGGGTTAGTGCACACCTCAGCTCTGTACGATGTACGATCAATAATTAAAAAAATCCCATAATGTACGATAATTTCGAAATTTCAGAACGTGTTTTTTTCCAAAGTCAACCTCATCAAAACAAAGCCATGAAATCGGCTCATTACAGACGCTCTAAATGGGTTGGTGCACACCTCAGGACCCTCAACATCTGGCAACACGCAGGATTCTGATGACAGCGACTCAGAGGTGGAGTTTGGACCTTCCCACAAGGTACGCCTATGGCCCTATGATTTCCGCGATGTGGAAAACACGGATGGAATTGCGGAATCCAGTCAACGGAATTTACTGTATAACGCGGAATGTCACGGAATTTGTCAAAGTTTGGATGAATTAATCAAAGGAAGGTCATTACACTTAAATCGTGATATGGACTAGTATCTGTAAATATTAAGCCGCAAAAAGGCTATTTAAATATAAATCCTGCATGTTCTGTGTCTGTCTGAATCATAGTCTATGGTCTGAATGAATGTCAAGCGGTTTTGTTTACTACACACATACTGAAGCGCGCGTGACACTCGTGGTGATTTCAGCATCTGCCTTCTCACTAAATAGGACATAAATACATGAACAACATCCCCAGAACTGCTCTGAGAGTCAAAAATATATAGTTTCTGCCAGAAATGTATTACTATTGTTCAGTAGAATGTACGTACAACTACTACTATTAAAATTAAGGAATGATCACAATATTTCTTACATGTGTTTTAATTTGAATTGTAAATCCCCTTTGTTTGCCAAAAAAATCAAATTTGTTTAATTTTCATTAATTAAAAGATAAAATAAATTCATGTGTTATGCCTTCATTCGATAATCAGAAATATTTAAATACACAACGCAGAATTTCTAAAGAAAAAAAACATTTCATAAGGCTATAAATAAAAGTAGTTTTTATTCATTCATTTGTTTGCCAAAAAAATCAAATTTGTTTAATTTTCATTAATTAAAAGATAAAATAAATTCATGTGTTATGCCTTCATTCGATAATCAGAAATATTTAAATACACAACGCAGAATTTCTAAAGAAAAAAAACATTTCATAAGGCTATAAATAAAAGTAGTTTTTATGCATTCAAATAATTAGACATATTAAAACACAGAATTTGGTAACAATAAACAAGGTGAAAAAAATAGAACCTTTCATAAGACCCTAAACATGTCATTTTTGTTAAACTTTATGTTTCATTATTTAATTAGACGTGCTTTTGATTAATAAAATGTAATTTAACCATTTAAAAAGGAGTCCAGAAAAAATAAAATAAAATAAAAAACAGAATCCAAATTTTTTAAAATTTGGAATAAAAAAAAATAAAGGAATTTGGGAAAAAATACAACTTATTTCATAGGGCCCTAGCATAGTTATTTATTTATTGTGGTAATTTGAAGGTTGTGTCAAAAAGTTGCTCTAGTCGTCTAGTAGATAAATAGCTGTATTTTGTACGTTTTTACGCGTGTACGATCATTTTCTTCCAAATACGATAATTTTGTATCTGGCAACACTGTGTTGCACGGATCTGCACTTCGAATTTCTACCGGAAGCAGTAAACCATCCGGGTACCTTTGGAATACTCATTTCAACATACTACGATTGGGGACATACTAATTCTAATTTCAAATACTATTTAGGACGGATAGTATGCAAATTGGGACGCAGCTAGAGTGTCCGTTAAAGACGCAGTTATGGTGAAGTAGTATGCAAGCTTAGGGACATA